GTTTATTATAAAGAATATGATATGATAAAAATATTGATATTAATAAAATAAAATAAAATAAAATAAATAATTTTTTAAAAAATGTGTTGCTTGAGTTTGTGTCCAACGGAAGAGTAACTAGATCAAAATTTTAATTTTGATACAAATCCTAAGTTCATCTGATAACAATTTGTATCAAAGCAGATTCATTTATTTAATTATTATTATTATATATGTAAATATATAATTAAGGGAGGCTCATTCATTTACAAAAAAATATAGTCCATCTATCATTTAGAGATGAGATACTATTAGTAGCGACAAAGAAATTTTAGAGAGAAAAAAAAATAGAAAGAAAGATAATACCGGCAGCTACAAAAAGACATTTAAGAGAAAAGAAAAAAGTTATAGAGAGAATATCGGCGGCGAGAGAGATTTTTAAAAAAAATAGAGATAGACTATGGCAACACATAGAGAGTTTTTCTTGGACAGGTTTTGAAGTACATCCAAACAAGCCCATTCAGTGTTCAAATATATACAAAATTAGTAAGAACATTCTTGTCACACAAAAAAATACACTTTTGGAATTTTTTTTATTTTAAAAATGACATTAACAACTGCTATTTTACAACGAATCTATTCAATAGGGGGCATATTGCTCAAAAGATTAATAATGCAAGGAGTTATATGCACTTTTTTTTTTTAATAGCAGTATTTCTTACACATTTTTTTATATAATAAGATATTTTTTTTACACATAACCCTTATTTATAATTTGGGATGATTTTTATTACTAATCCACCCGTGCATGTCTTCAAAGACTCTCTTAAGATATAAACTTCCTCCAACCACTTTAAAACCACAAACAAATATTCATACGCAACATAATATTTTACATAATTTATTTAACTTTAAAATGATATGAAGAGACAATTTCAATATTATTTTACATAATTCATTTAACTTTAAAACACAATATTTTACTACAGACAAAAATTTCACATCACAACTCTAAAATAGCTCTAAAATAGCATCCCATAAATTCGTTCTCTTAATATCTTTTTAACTTCACTCTCTTTACCTTTAAATCTTCACCTCAGTTCCACTTAGGACAATTCTTTAATTACGATCTTTACCCTGATTGGACTACTAGTTCGTAACACACACCAAATGTGAGTCACAAAACCCAATAGACTCTACGTTCTGGGCCAATAACCGAAATTGCGAGGTCCAATGCCAGCGCATGACAGAGATGGCACACTTTTATATATATATATATATATTTATATAGTATTCATATATAAACGCACGTGCATGATTTGAGTAATTTAAAGTGAAAGGCCTTATATGAGAGTAATCTAATATGAAAGGCCTAGGATTCTCACTGATGAAACATTAGTAAACAAGGTCAAGGTAGATGGAGAAACTATGTCAATTTGAAATCCAATGATGGAAAGTTTATGAGGGCTTTAAATAAGGAGGTGATTTCAATTGCTGAATTTTCAGATTTATACGTACTTTTGAAAACTTTGTCAATTTGATAATTACGTACTAATGGCATCAATGATTTCTAGTTCTCTGAAGAAATGATGCTGAACGATTGAGGTGAAATGATTTTTATTTTTCACAATTGATTATAATGTCACAAGTCTAGAGTTTCTCCACCACTATAGCTACATATGTGCGGCACTAAGATGTTTTTACTCGTGCAAGGCCTTGGTCAGCTTAACTCTCATATTTGTAGGTGTCAACGCATTCCACTCGTATTGTAGTGTCTCACGCCCTGAAGTCTTGGTGTCGCACAAGTTAACTGGTGTTGAAACTCTAAGGCCGTGATAGTAAGCTAGCTATCTATACTACATGCATTGAATTATAAATATATTTAAATTAAATAACATCTAATCCAAATTAAATAAGTTTGACTAAATGGCAAACATAATTTGCCTGTATCTATTCATCTTGTCAACAACTTCACGTTGTTTTTGAATGCACAAAGAAAATTTGTATGATTTAATCAATTTGAACTATTTGATTTTGTTTTTAAGAATTTTGGATTTTTTTTTTCAATAATTAGAATTTTGGATTATTTAAATATTGAGAAACTACAAATAAATATATATATATATATATATATATATATATGAGTAATGCTTGGGTCCTGCCTTATCAGGACAAGTATTGTTCTCCAAGCTGACTTGGCCCAATAAGAATTTGCCACATCTCCATTCCATTAAAAAATATAAAACATGGGTTATACCCATTTAACTGACCCGTTTTGTTGCTCTCTTCTTGTTTCTCTCTCCTCCCATGTGTGTACGTTTCCTTCTCTTCATCACAGATCAGTCTCGCCGCTGCCGGATCAGTCTCGCCGGCTCTCTGCTATCATTATCTGTCATCCTTCTTGTCTCCGCCGGATCGTCGCCGCCGGATCTGTTCTCACCGGCTCTTCTTCGCTGTCCTCTCCACCGCGATCTCCCTTTTCTACCCCAAAACCAAAATCAACTGAATCGCCGTCGGCAACGAAATCATGGCCACCGCAGACAAGAACCTCATCGCCCACCTCGTCCCGGCGATGAAATCTCTCCACTAAGCCCTCAAACTCGCCGGAATAACTGGAACCTGTTGAAAGGCAGAACGGCGTTCTACAATTCCCGGAGCCCGGCGGAGAGGAACGTGATTTACCCAATTGCCGGAATCTGACACACACCGCCGGTTTGTATACTTTCCTATTGTCCTTCTATTGTCCCCAATTTCATCAATGTTTTTTTTTTTTCCCAAAACCAATGTAAAAATAAATCGAACAATTTTACTTTCCTCAATACTGAGACGTGGCAAATTCTTATTGGGCCAAGTCAGCTTGGAGGACAATTCTTGCCCTGATAAGGCAGGACCCAATCATTACTCTATATATATCCATGTGTGTGAGAGTACACACACTAGACTGGAACATGGACTGTGAAGAGTGAGCTCATGGTTCATGATAATGGAGAAAAGCTGTTTCCCTTTTACAGTATATAGAATGCTGGACCACAATAATTTATATACTCAGCTAAAAAGCGTGATGAATCGACGATTGTAGGACATGGTGAATATAAGATCTTGAACAATGTTAAAGCAGTACTGACCATAGACGAAGACCTCAAGTTGGAAAAAAGTGTTTATGTTTTTTGGGTCCCTATACAGAAACATAGAGATGTGTTGCACGTTTTAGTTTTTACCAATGTTAAACACCACATTTCCTTTCCAAAAAAGAAAAAAATTCAAAAATACATATATACCAATGGACATTCACTTTTGTTTTTTTTTGGTAAATAAGGACATGCACTTTGTGAGATAAGATCCTATAATTGATCCATTAGCAAAGCTTTTATAATCACTTTTTGATCTTCACAATCTCTTTTCATTGAAGTGATCCGTTCCACTCATTGTGCGGATTCAAGAATCCATGTTTGGATGATTAAGACCAACACTCCTGTCCCATCCAGAATGTTGTGTGTTTTGGGTCGCATCACTTTAAAAGATTGGACCACTTATTGTGTGTAGCATATTCTTTTATTTATGGGTTAATTAAGTTGTAACATTATAATTTGAGGAACAAGAGTCATACAAATAGGGGTAAAGTGCAAAAAAAAATTTTGAATTATATTTGAATTTACAAATAACTCACCTGAATTATTGTTTGTGCATAATATATTTGAAATATCACATTTTGCTACAAAAATATTTAGATTATATTTCATTAAATAGTCATAATGCTCTTTCTTATTGAATTACGCTTAATCTATTTTTCTTATTGAGATAAATTATGAAAAAAAAACGCATATTAATTTGATGACATATTCTCCATTAAATTTGCATAAATTTACCTTTCATTTTTAAAATTAATTAATTAAATAAAAATCTTAAGTAGAAAATTTTAAAATAGTTTAATTAATTTCTTTTTTTTTTTCATGAATATATTACATGAAAAAGTAGGTATTTTTTATTTAAGTAATTTATTATTTTTTATCAATATAGTGTATGAAAAAGAAGGTATTTTTCTACGGTAAAAAATTGTAAACTAGGCATAATAAGTTTTGTTATAAATAATAAAATTTTAATAATAAGTTAATCATTTTAAAAAATAGTAGTTACAAATCTTTTTTTTTTTCATTTTTATGATAAATTGATACTAATAATAAAATTAAGGTAAATGGTATAATTAATATTTAGATAATAGAAAATTTAATAAAAATAATTTAATAAGAAATAACAAATTTAATGTGAATGGGTAAAATAATAATTGCAACAAATTAATATTTTAGGTGGCAATTTTTATTTACCCTACAAATAGAGAGTACAAAGATTTTTAGAAAAAAAAAAAAAAAAAAAATTGTAATTGAAGTAGAATAAAACCCATAAAAGCACCAACATCATATAATCCAAGCTTCATTGGATTCGTGTATGAAAGCCTTACATGATTTCATATATTAGTCTGGAGCAAAGCCCGGTCCGATTACGGAAAGAAATTTTTTTGTATATATAATTGGGCCCTTCCCTAGTGGAATAATAATATGCAATTTTGCCAAAATTGGGAAGGATTGAGCCAGCCTTGTTTGTACCCTCTAGCAATTCATTCCCAGTCATTTACCATTCCCATGTACATAAATAGTAGTAGCACATGGGAGGATAAACAAATAAAAAGTCTAACATTAAGGAGAAAAGAAAAATACGAACCAAGCCACAAAAATACTACTTTCCATGCAATTTTTCTTGTGAGGGTGTCTCTCCATTACTTTATCTCTTCAGCATTTCGTGACGCATGATCCAACAGTTCGCAACATGCCATCTCAGCATATTAATTTTTTATTTTCATTTTATCAAAATAAGACTATAATTTTTTTTATTATTATTTTTTTTTATGAATAATCAGCTGAAATGGCATGTTGTAAACCATTGGATCATGTGCATCACAAAAAAAATATTGTAGAGAAAAAATAACTGAGAATAACAGTCTTGATTATCAAAGAACTACTTGAACATAGCTATAAAATTTTAATTAAAAAAGAAAAAAAAAAACAGACAAACAAATTATCAACAATAGAGAACAAAGCTTACAATATTTCATGAAAAGACAGACCAGCCCTCATCCTCTTCAAGGAATTTACTTATCCACTCTAAGTTCAAAGGACCCTCCTTAGAATAATCAAAGAACCCGTTCCCGGCGTTGAAACTAATTATCGAGTCCTCACCTGATTTAGAGGTACCTTCTAATTCCTTTACTTTGTCTGTTGTCTTCATCTCCATTGCCCTACTCCTTGGAGGCATAAACCCTCTTGATGTTGCACCTATGCCTTTTTTCTCATGCCATATTTTCTTGCTCAAATGAGAATTCCAGTAGTTCTTGATCTCATTATCGGTCCGACCAGGTAGTCTTCCGGCAATCAAAGACCACCTAAAATAGACCAATTATTCTATCAAAGTTAATTTTTACACACACAAAAATTACATGTAATGTACCTGAAGTAATATTATTATATATATATATGACAAAATAAAAGACCACTTAAACTAAGCATCAATTGTTCATATGCTTACCTATTTCCTAGGAGCTTATGAAGCCTAATTATCAAATCCTCTTCTTGGTCTGATATGTTGCCTCTCTTGATGTTGGGTCTCAGATAATTCAACCATCTCAACCTGCAACTCTTTCCGCGTCGTCCCAGACCTGCAAGATATATCATGTGATGAGTAACAAATTAATTATAACATTCAACAACTAACTATATGTGGAGTTGAGTTTATTATTACTTTTTTTTGGGTAACTCAATGAATTAATAGCAAAAAACATGCGGAGTTGGGTTGATCAATCAATGTTGGATATATCTATATACCTGCTTTGGCTGCAATTGACTCCCATCTTCTAGCACCATGGATTTCAATTGCTTGAGCCAGTTTTTGGTCTTCTTCAGCTGTCCATGGTCCTCTACTACTTTCTTTCCTGGTACACTGACTGTTCTGCGAAGCCATCAGCATGTTTCTTCTTCCTTTTCCTTTCTTTCCTTTCCTTTATGCAAGTCCGGCCTACTGAACCAACCCTACAGAGAGAGAGAGGGGTATGTAGAGAAAGCTTTTATGTGGTTCAGAGGAAGAGGGAGAGATATCCCTTGTATCTATCTTTCTTTCAGGGAGGCCAACTTACTATATATTTGCAAAATGAGGGACTTATATATATATATATATATATATATCTAGAATGCGTACATCAACAAAATAGATGTACGTGAGGTTGATAATTGAAGAATGAGAGAGAAAATATGATATGTAAATATTTGCACATGTAAGGTTTGGTGCGCGCTAATGCAACTAGAATATCAATTGACAACTATATATATAGCAATTCATTCTCATTTTCATGTGTGATATATATGATCACATTGCAGGACTTGGGAATAACTTTTCTATTGGGTAGGACCCATATACTAATATTTCTGGACCATTTGGTGACAACGAGGCACCACAACAGAAAGGCAAGGGTAAAGGAAGAGTTAGATTACAGTTCAAACTTCAGTTCAGAACAATTCATAGAATAATTACCGGAGATTCTATTTAATATGGCTAAATTGCATCAAATACCCCCTCAACTTTTAAGATTTTGCAACATATACCCCCACAGCCCATACTTCTTGGGAGGAACCACCTATTAATTCAATAATTCATCATGTATAGATTGTGTTGCAGTGACAATCTACGTTTTAGTGCTATTTGGCCTATTTTTTATTATTATAAAAAATAGTGATTATTCATTGGTCTCAAGGGAGGAACTATTAATGGGATAACTTGGGTTATAGCATAGGTCCAATTTAAAAAAAAAAATTAGTACTACTGTTCATATAAAAGTCAGTGCATATGTAATCAGTTTGTAGTATTACTCTTTCTCTTCCTATTAGCCCAACTATTCATGTGTTTATCTAGGCTATATGCTGCTACTATCCTTATTCTTCAAACTGTTTCTTTGATTTTTTTTTTTTTCCCTTAAGTAAGAGAATAAATTATGGTAATTAGAAACCACGATTCAAAACGTTTACAACTACAAGAAAGTGAGAAAACATCCAACTTTCCATTCAAATTAGGACACAAACTCATATTTCCTAGAACATGGGTAGTCTTATTTCAAAATCTCAGCATCTTTATCAATTAATAGTTGAAAGGATCTTCAAGATTCAGTTGGACAATTTTTTATTTTATTTTTACCCGGAAAACAAATTACAATGGGTACTTTGATAAAGGATAACAAACATGTTTTTATACCTAATTTTAAGTTGAGATCTAAACTTAGTAAATTAGGTTTCTAGGTCTTTTCGGATCAAATTTTCAAAAAATGATCAATTTCATGATTTAGTTACTTAAATATGGAAGTAAGACCATACTGATCGAACATAGTATGTCCTTACCATACCTCACTTCTATAAGAATTTTTTTTAATATTTCACAACTTCAATTGTGTTCATCTTCAAATTTTCTTATCTTTAGCCCCCTACTTTGTAATCCTGGCTCCGCTCCTGATTAATCTATGATCCATATTACAGTATCGAATATTTTTCTCTATTGAGGTATGGTTAAAATATAATAATACTCAATCAGTAAAATCAATCCAATTGTATTCGTAAAATAATAGATTAGTTTGAATTCAATTTTCATTAATCCATAATGATTGAATTAAATTAAATGCATAATTTGATCCTTGGTCACTCCTATTTTTAACAGTTACAAATGACGTTTTGCAATTTTTTTAAAAAATGAGAGGGCTAATTGATTAAAAATACTAATAGTATAAGAATGATTGCATTAACTAGACAGTTCATGTGTGTGCAATTGTAATTTGGACATAAACAAAAGTAATTTGTCCAACGTTATAACAGTTACTAGTAGACTTATTTGCAGGCCACAGGCACCTACTTGTTCTCTGTCATGATATTAAAGGAATTTGATTTTTATTTAAGAATTAAGATCCTAACCACTCAATTAATACCAAATCTTCTTTTTAAATAATTTTTAATGCATAATTTGAAATCTAGTGAAATATATAAAATGTAAAGATATCTAGATTTATTTGAACTGACCAGCCTATTTAGTATTAGGTGGTTGAAAATATTGGAACTTTTTTCTATGTTTTGAGACTTTAATATGGATTAGGTAAACAAATAAGGAATCTGCAGAAATCTATGTAATGCTTTTTCTAGTTATATACAAACTTTTAGTTATATTATTTCATTATATGATATTTGTGTTTGTATGTTTTTAGAAGATTGTGGCATACTAGAACTTCATAAATGGTGAGCACGTGATTATAATAATTTGTTAAAAACATTGGAAAAGACGTAGCATAAATTTGTATATTATGGAGACACTGGTCCACACAGACTGAGTCGTCACACCACTGTTTAAGCATAAATTATTGTATGCCTTTATTTGTTCAAAATGGTCCACTTTATATCTCGTTTATAGAGACAAGCCCACAAAACAAAGATCATACCTTTGGGCTTTGGATTTACATTAGAAAGAGATCTAATGTGGAAATGACATCCTTAAGCAAGTAGGTTGTCATCATTAGGAGTTGTTTTTCTTCAAATATTAAAACAATATTTCCGTGATTTGATGCCAATCCATACATTTTTTTCTTATAATATTTTACACACACCAATATATATATATATATATATATATATAACAATCATTAAGGGAAGGATCATTAAAAGATATGGTTTTAGTTTTCCAAACAAATGAAAATGGCAAATCATGGGTTGGAGGAGGCCCACTTCCTTTTACATTATTGCTTAGGTATTTTTGGGAGTTGCAAAAGCAAAATCGTCAATGATAAAGGTTATTTATCTAATGTTTAGGCACAAACATTAAATAATTAAGAGTACCTACAGCAGAAATTTCATTGAAGGGCCTAAACTTTTGGGAAAGAGTTTTATTTTTTTTTTATAGGCAGTAAAGTTGATAATTAAATACCCAATTTCCATTCAAAGATATGTATAGATCGAAGAGGAAGATCTTCTCTAATCATATTGAAATGGTTAGTTGGTCAATGTAGGCATTGTAAGTAGCCTGAATTAATGTAAAACTCTGTACTATTTGAAAAAAAAAATTATGAACCAACCTCAACAAAGAACAAGTCTGAAAGTTAAGAAATAATTAAATTTTTTTTTTTTTTTCACAGAAATAATTAAAGTTTGAAGGATAAAAAATGTATAATTGGAAGTGATTGGGCTTTTTCACCTCTCTTCTGTCAAGATGGTGATTGGTGAGTCAGTGACAAATCCCCAAACCGACACAAGGTACTACCGACCTTTGCTGCCATTAGATGCAAAGCAGTGTCTTATGCGGTCCCACTCAGTTCCACTCATTTCCATGATCTGATGGTTCTAAAACATAAGAATCTTCAACAAAAGAAAAAGATAATCAGAAAGTAATAAAAATAAAAAAATAAAAAAAATAAAAATTGAAGGTACCTCCTCATCCTACGACAAAAAAAAAAAAACAAAAAAAAACAAAAAAATTAATTAAAAAAAAAATGAAGCATTTTCTGTTAATGCTTGGGGGACACATTTTAAAGCTCTTGACAAATAGTTTGGTGTCGTTTTGGGTCGCGACACTACTTAACACAAAAAAATAAATAAATAAATAAAGGGCTTTGCATGTAGTGGAATTAGGAAAGGTACAGCAGAATAAAAAGTAAAACTTTATATAAAAATCAAAGCAACAGTTTGATTGCATTGAACATGCTTTTGAATACAAAAAGGTAGGTACAGTATAATATATAGTAATATACATATATATATATATATATATATAGGTATTAGTTGTAGCAGTAAACTAGTAGTAAGAGCTGCATGAACCGATCATTACAGTGATTGGTTCAATGGGTACCATCATTGTTGTGACTGGTGGTCACGGGACTTGAATCCCCTCCACATCATCATGTTCTTTTGACTCATTTGGAACCTGGCGTCAAAGAATGAGTTCGTGGTACTGAGCCCACATTCCCTGTGCATTGGGACTCTGTATATGTACATTAAAATAGTGTCATTTCATCGTACCACATGAGTACCGGATCCTTTAGCATGAGAGAGGATCTTAATTCGGCAAGACAACCTTGTTAAACATGTTTAGAATAACTTTTTCTGAAATCCTATAATTTCTCTGGAATATCTTTCTCCAAAGATTGTTCTTGACAACTTGGTTCATGAACTGTATGTTTAACAAACATTTTCTCTCTCAAGTGTTGTTTTTTAGTATCAAGATCGATTTTTATTTTTTATTTTTCCTTCGTAGAATGAAGAGCAAGTCAAACACACAATATATGAATGAACTAGCTGCAATTCAGTAGTATATCTTTTTATATCTAAAAAGTAGAAATGAATGGGGCAAGTTTGTACCAGGTCAAGTCTAGTATATAAGTTTTTTTGCCATTCAAAAATAAAAAATAAAAATAAAAATAAAAGTTAAAGAGATATATAAAGAAAGCACAAACAAGCACTAAAATAATTTATGCTTACTGAGTTTTGTCCAAGGACTTTTATTATTTTGAGCTACATTGTAGGCTGCTGCCTCCATTCATATTTGTTTATTTTAATTTTGTAGTACATAATTATCAAAAACTTTCCGAAAAAAATTAGGTAACTAAGTGATTTTATAAGAAAGAAAACAGGATTTACAATATTAAAAAGGCCATAATTATATGTACAAAAGCTTCAACAAAAAGAAGACACAACAAAACTAGAGACAAGCTAAGAATCTAAACGGAATCTGGTAATTTCCACTCTCTGCAAGAATCGATCATTAGAACAAAAACTCTACGATTCATTTCCTTCCATAAAACATATAAATACAGGTCAAGAAAACCAATTTCTCAAGAGTACGTCCTGCCCAAAAATTTCCCTTATTGTTTTGTTTGGGAGCACCAATCGATGTCTTAGATTTGGATTCGGAGAAAATATAATTTAAAATTTTAACTAAATTTTTTTCTATCCCAAATCCATGCCACCGACTGAGTGCTTCCAAACAGCATCAAATTATTAAAAGAAAAAGGCCTTGGTTCACTAAACCCCCTCCAGTTTCAACAAGTTGCACAATACTCTCCTCTTCTGATTTTTTGAGTCAACAAACGACCTTTATTTATAAAGGATTGCAACGAATATCCTACTTTTGCCTTTAAACTAGTCATGTGCATTACACATGACACATTAATTAATTATTTGACAAAATTACCTTACTCAATATACCATTTCTAATTGATTAAAAATATATATATATATATATATATCCTTAACAAATGATACATAGTACTTCA